AGCTCTATCGACACTACAGAGAAGCGCTGACGTGTAAGGAAGCACGTCATTGCATACTGCTGCTTTGCTTTTTTCTGCTGTGCATGAATCACTGTTCTTGTTTAACATGTGTGACATGAACAAATGTATGTAAATGCATGGTGAAACATCTTGATTATGCTTGAGAGCGTTGACGTGAAGTACTCTGCCACTCCCAGCGCGCCTTCCTGCTGTACAAGCAACTCAGGGGTTTACACAGGGCCACCGACACAAACTGACATGAAGTGCTTGGGTTGGAGTTATGGAGTGTAGCCTACTGTACCTTTACCTCATTGTATTGTGAGCTATACTGGTAGCGCCTCCTCCCCCACACTTTGGCTGAAAGATAACTGTAGCACCCACACGGAGCTCTTCTTCAAGCTGTGGATACGCTCCACAGGTACGTAGCAGGGTTATCATAGTTGACTAAAACAAAAACAAAACTAGATGTGAGAAAATATTCAGACGTTTGAAAAAAAGTACAACTAACTAACTAAAAATAGAAATATAGAGGAAATCTGTTACTTTGGTTAAACTATTATTATACATTTTATTACGTCACCGAGTCGGTGACAGATGTGTTTGAGACTCTGTCAGCTGCTTTCAAATAGAGCAGTAATACCTGTGCTGATTTTCCTCGAGGCCCTTCACACAGTAACAATTAAACGGACTGGTTCTTATATGGTGCTTTTCGACTCTCACTGAGCACAAAGAGGATTTTATACGACTTGTCTCATTCACACAAGTGTCGAACTGCCAAACTTCCAATTAGAAGATGATCTGCTCCACCTCCTGAGATACTGCCACGCCTAAAAAGATCAATTAAAACGACAAATATAAACTCTGAAACGATTAAAACGAAGCTAAAACGAAACCTTTTGAAACGATAAAAACTAAACTGACAGAAGAATGAATTAAAAACAAATGAAATAAAATTAAAAACTCATTAGAAATGACAAAACTATAGTACCTCCAAGCAGACTGAGTCAGAAACACTGCCTTTACACTGGGATTGCTTATTTGAAAAAGTAATTAAGCAACTGATTACACGACTTGCATAACCAGCCCTGTGGCCACACTCATTGTAATGCACGCAGACTTGCAGAGGATGGTGCGATATTACACTTCAGCTAGAATCACATGAAAGCATCCAGCAGTGCTAAGTTGCACTCTTGACCTCTTTAAGACCCCAGAATCTGCTACTGGGCCTTTCTGCCTGTTGCCACAGTAACGTCTGACAAAAAGATTTGCTCTGTTTGTTGCTCTAAGAATCAAGATCAATGCACAAGAGCCAAAACAAATATTTATCAATCTGAATATTTGTTGCCAAATCTTAACATGAGAGAATATTAATTTGGCAAAAAAAACAGATTGCAGCAAATAAGAGTCCTGACCTTTGATGGTGATCTTTCTCTAATTTGTAATTTAAAAAAGTGTTTAAAATCCATTTGACTTAAAGCACTTTGCAAACACACTTGGGCGCTGTAACTATTGTGGTTGTTGTGGTTTGTTTATTTATTTAAACCAGCATACTGCTTAAATTAAAATGGTTAAAGATGGATATGATTGGCTTATAAGACGCTACAGTCAGTAGTTCAAGTAAGTGATATACCAGTTTGTACTCCACACAGATTGTACTCTTAATATTTACAACTAGTGGTGTGTTATTTTGTACCAAGCTACCTGTGCTGGTAAAAACAATTGAGGTAAGAAGTAGTTGAATCGCAGCAGGAAAAGCCCAGTTCAAAGAAATGTTTTTCCACCTGATGCTAACAGTGGAAATGTTGCCAGTCGAATGCACGAGGCCTTGAACAACTGCTGCTGTGATTAAAAAAAACTCTTAGAAATGGTCAAAAATGATGGCTGAGTCAACAAAATGTGACTTTAACATCTGAGTCTAGTTGTACATTGGGTGACATCACTGCTGTGATCTTTCCCAAGACGATTCTTCACCTGTACAGACTTAATCCTCAACCATAGCAGCAGCTTGTGGGTTGCCCCGATAATCTGTCTAATCCCCGGTCACACAGGCCTAGAGTCTGGTCTTTGGGTAAAGTGTTTGCTCAAGGTTGATTGCAGCTGGTATACAGGTCTGTACCAAAACCCTCCTTGCAGTTGCTTTGGTCAGTAGCTGGTTGCTGAGGTTGCCCGCCTTGCAAACTGGTTTCTAAGCTGCAGTGAACCTGAAGACCGTTTGCCTTCAAAGTAAAAGTTTAGTTTTATGAAAAGCGCAGGCGACTGTGGAAATTTGTCTCCTTTTTTCTCTGCTAGTGTTTTATCTCCTTCCTAGTCTGGTTTGAGAAAATTGCACAGTACTTACTGTCTGTTTTCATGTAGATGATACAGTTATTTATTGTTGTGCTTGCACCGTCCACGTGGTTTTTGAACAGTTACTAGCTGATTGTGTACACTCTCACCTCTGTCAGCTCAGACTGCTTTTAAATGCTCTTCTCAAATAGGAGAGTGTGCCTGCAGTTAGGGCTGTTTGATATAACGATATATATCGGATGACGATATAAAAACGTCTATCGTTTCATTTTACGCTATCGTTTGTTTCGTGGTGTCGCAAAATAAACTGCTTACAGCAATATTTGTTCATGGTTTTGATGGTCACTGTAGTGGCTATATTAATTTCCTAAAGTTCTGTCTTATATTTACTATAACCACACTACAGACAAATAAGCGTTTGTTTTTATGGGTTGTCGTTAGCAACAACGACGGTAAAACCACCGCGTGTTCGCTTGTTCCACATAAACCTTTCACAATAAAGCTCAAGATCCTGTTGAGACTTTTCAAAATAAACTGAATCACGTGAAAGATGCAGAGAATGCGGATGAGAAGTAAAAAAGAGCCGCCAGGTACTAAAAAATAAACCTTAGACTCAAACGTTAGAACAGGCTTTTCCCCGCAGCACGCCGTGTAATAAATACTCACAAAGAAAACGGCGGCTGTTACAACTTGTGTCTAAAAACGTATCGTTTCATGCATCGGTTAAAACACTCGACTCCAGCTACATGACGCGCAGCTGGAAAAACGTCACGCAAGTCGAGCTGCCCGAGATTCACAGAATTTACAGAAAATGTTACATTTTTGTGATTTATATCGTTATTGGACGATGTCTTATATCGGGATATGAGATTTTGGTCATATCGCGCAGCCCTACCTGCAGTACTTCCCTCTCTTGTATCTGCTCAAGGCATCTATTGAAACTGTGACCTCATGCAAATACTTCGTATTGTGATTGATGATAATCTTTCCTTTAAGCCACACGTTGAGCACCTGTTAAGGAAACTTGAAGTTGGGCCTTTTTTTTCTGAAATCGATTGTGTTTCTCTTTCACCGCAAGACAAAGGCTTGTTGCTACCACTTTTTTACCCGTCCTGGATTACGGTGATATAATTTACACGAACACCTCTGCTCATTCGCTCCATCTTTTGGACTCTGTTTATCACGGCTTTATGATTTATGACTGGTTGTAAACCTTTAACCCATCACTGTACTTTATATTTTCTGGCTGGCCCTCGTTGGCCTTATGCAGGATGATTCACTGGTATAATCTATAAATCTATTTGTGATTTACTCCCTGCTTATTTATCAGATTACATGTTACATAAACATCTTAGTCATAGTCTGCAGTCTCTTTATTACAGTCATCGTTCCATCAGTTTGTACAGAACTTGGAAAACAGGATTCTCCTTTTCTGCTCCATCTTCATGGAAAACATTACAGAAGGATTGGCAGCTCTCAGCTGATTTCACTTGCAGATGTAAAAGACGTACAAATGACCCTTTAAAATCATCACTAGGAACGTATTCCTGTTTCTGACATGACTGTGTAAACATTAGACTATTTTTTTTAATATTTGCTATTTTAATGCTGTTGTATTTTTGTTGTCATTTAATGTTTGTCTCTCTTGTAAATGAGACATGGAGTCTAAATGGGGCTAGATTATTGTAGACTAAATCACAAGTTGATTCATTTGACTAAAATTTAAGGTTTGTTGTGTTTTTACCGGTAAAAGTTGCTCCATGTGGTTTAAACAGAGTCGTATTGTTCTTGGCATCAAATGCAAAATGTGTCCAAGTGTTTTTATTTAATCTCCTAGGACTGCCGTCCACATATGGGGACATCACATTTTGGGTTGTCTAGACCACAAACTAAATTTTGCTCTTTCAAATGAGCCATATGGCTCAAAGGGGCACAGTTGTTGTTTCACAGTTGTTGTTTTTGTGCTCAGGAAAAATGCTGCTGTGTTCAGACACCAAATAAAGAGTTTTGCACATCATTACTCAAATGTGACTTTATGGTCCCCACGGACCGGTTTATGTCCAACAATATTTTATGGACCGGCCTTTAAGGCGTCACCGATAAATGCAACAAAATAAAACCAGTACCTGTACCAAAAAGAAGATTTGTTCATAACACACGGGAAAAGACCCAGGGAAACCTAAACGATAAAAACTGATTGAAAACCCCGAAAACCATAAATTTCACACCTGAGCCTCAACTCTTGCGGCCCGATACCAAACGACTCAAGGACTGGTATCGGTCCATGGCCCGGGGGTTGGGGACGGCTGTTCTATCGAACACTATAAAGCCGAATCACAAAGAGAAATTAGAAATGCATGCCATGAGTTCAGGTTTTAGGAGATTAATCACTGTCTTGTTTTCGGCAAGGGAAAGAAGGTTGTAGAAAAAAATTGTTTAAAAATGGATCAGCAACCACTTGCCAACCGATTGTGGGCCTTTGCTGCGTAAATGTAGCCTTTGTGAGGTACTTTGCTGCTGTCAAGAGGGAAATGTTGTCCAGACCCTACTGACTTTTCCTCTGCCAACACAATGTGGTTGCCTCTCTAACTTGTTTTTGTTTTCTTTTTTTCTTCCATAGGCGAAGCCCCTAAATGACCCTATCCACTCTGAATGAGACGGCAAGATTCGACTTGTTTCAGACTCTGGCAAACCACCAGCATTCTTTACCAGTGTAGAAGATTAGACTTGACAGTTTTACCTCCCGTCATTGGTTCCAGTCAGAGAAAACCACATCTGCTTTCTACCTCGAAGGGAAATAGAAAAGGAAGAAACATCCGTTTACTTTCCATGATTAGTTTCTCATCTTCTTCTCATTGCAATGTTTTTCCGTCTTACCTCAGGGATCCTCTCCCACTGTCTACCTCCACCACCGAAACAGCCAGCCCAGTGACTGCAACACGAAGCAATAATACACCCGTGACCTGCCACTGTTGTTACCGTGACAACCAGTATTGCCTCTCAAGATCTCCTCAGTGCACCCGTGACGTGAGCAAAGACCTTTGACCTGTAACCACCTGCCAGCCCTTACCTGTTCACGGCCTAAACAGAACCGATCAACACAAACCTGGTCTGCTTATTACCTAAAGGAAAACCCTCATTAAGCTCACACTTTCTACTCCAGGCAGACAACTGTATACCTCAGCAAACACAACTTCTGGATAGTCAGGAAACAGAAGTAAACTTTCAGTCACGACTCACTATCCTGGTGCTTTAATCTACCCAGCAGGCGACACATGCTCACTAACCTGATGCTTCAAGCCACGCAGTAGACTTCTCACTCTGGAATCTTCCAATTGCCTTAAAGGCACGAGTATAGCAACAGTAGTGAGGTACTTGCACAAAACTTCAGTTCATCTGATCCTCAGCAAAGTCACGTCATACACAAGCCTCAAGATCTGAGCAGTAGCAGAAGCCAGCAATCGCTCAGGGGACCGCTTTGGAAGTACCCCCACCGCCTTGAGTTTGGACGTCTCTTTGTGGAGTAGTGAAGCTACCCCAGGAAGAGGAGAAACTATTGGGAGCCTCATGTTCTGTCACTACTCTGCAGGAAGATGCAAAAAGTAAAGAACTGACTGTCAGATGTAACAGAGAGCGTTATATGCCCGAACGACGTAAACACAGAACATATCCGTACGGTGTGACGGAGAGGAATAAAAGAAGGAAACAAAACAAGCTTCTCCTACAGATGAGAATATAATGGTGAGTCGTTGTATTTTGGTTTGTTTCACCCCCCCACCCCTACCCCCTTTAGTTTTATATTTTTCATTTCTTATAGGTATCGCTAACTGACATTTGAATGACATTTCTGCCTTATTAAATGATACAGAGTGGAGCCAGACAGAAGATTAGGGAGAGATGGAAGGAGCGCTATGCAGTAAAGGTCATTAAATGCTTCAATAAATCTTAACAAAGAAACATCACACTAGTTTCTAGCCACACTGAGGTTTGTTGCTTTAAGCAATTGAAAGTTAAATATGACAAATTATCAGTGGCTGTGTCACATTTTGATGTCTTATATGGTGCCTTTAAGTGCTCCCTAACATTTAGCTTGATGGCTATAATAGAAACAAAGTCGACATTTAGGGCCATCTGTCTAAAAGCTTGACTAAAACGTATCTAGTGTTTCTAAATCATGTGCTGTGAGACGATAAAATGTTAGTATGACTCCAGGAAAGGATGGAAAACACAGTGTTGCTCTGTCACTGAAACGTCTCAGTGTCCATCGTTATGAAATCTTGTTGAGACTTTTATGGTTCCAGGACACTGTATCAAAGACTTTGGGAAGCTCCTGACCTTTTCATTCGTCACTGAAATATCTCTGTAGCTGTTGGATTGGATGGTTTGGTATAAAATGTGGTACGTCTATATTCTCTATGGTGAATTTTGACAAGTGTGACCTTTCATTTTGCACCAACATCACGTTTAGCAGTCGAAAATCTGCCATTCCTGTCAGCTACAGTAATACTTTGTGCTTGTGCTAATAGTTAGCATGCTAACACATTACGCTAAAGAGATTATAACCAGCATGTTGACATTGGCAGTTAGCTCAAGGCTCTGATGTGCCTAAACTGACAGAGCACCTAGGTCAGGGGTGTCAAACTCAAATACACAGTGGGCCAAAATTCAAAACTGGAACAAAGTCGCGGGCTAACGTTAATATTTATTGAAAAAAAATCTTCCTCCAGATATAAGAATGAATCTTTTCTTATGGACTCAAATAAGTTTTGCTGGAAAACTGAATATGG